GCTTGAATAAGGTCTCATTGGGGTTGGCCTGGACTGTGATCCTCCTGCTTAGGCTTCCCACATACTTGGCATGACAGGTGCAGGCAAATACATCTCACTTTTATTTTGTTGAGAAGAGGGCCTCTTTTTGCCTGGCTGGCCTTGACCTCAGTCCTACTGGTTTCCACCTCTTGAGTAGCTATGATTGCAGGTGTGAATCACTGTGCCTGGCCCAGAACTTGCTGTTCTCTTCTGTAGAATTACGTGTTTGTTTGTTTGTTTTTTTAAGTGAATTTAATGTTTGGGAAAATTATTTTGAGCATTTCATCTTTGAAACATGGAACCCACATAGCACATGGTGATCCCTAGCTTCTTTAGAGGTAAACATAAAACATCTTTATGAATAAAAAACACTGTTGGTTGTGGCCATTAAGACTGTTCAAACAAAAATTTGGATCAAGATCTTTGATGAATACGCCTTGTTGCTGACAAGGCAATTTTTACTTAGTTGAATATATTATTTATGCATTCATATTTTATTTTTGTCTAAGTTAAAAACTGTGATTCCTTTAGGTTAGTTACCTTAAAATCCACCACATGGTATCTTTAAAATCACAGGTTGGTACCCCAAGTATTAAATATTAAAGGAAAATAATGTCAGATTCCAGTGGTGGCATGTTTACTATACTTTAGGAAACAGGTTAATTTATATTGGTATAAATTTTCTGCTGATCTGTATCTTTATTAAAGACTAACTGGAGTTTTAAAAACAGTGCTGTCAAAGTTTTTGGCTTTCGGATCCCTTTACATCATTAAGAATTACTGAGGACGCCAAAGCAAACTTTTCTTTGCGTTTGCTGTATTAGAAATTAAAGTCAGTTTTAAAGAAGATGTGTTGTACAGGAAGGAGTAGCCTTATTTTACATATATGTTAGTGTCTTTAATATTCAACTTTAATGTATTGGGGAAAATGGTATTTTATATTTATAGATTTAATGTTCTGCTCTATAGAAAGTGGTTGGCTTACCACATTTGCTTTTGTATTCCATCTGTTGCAAAAAAGATCTTTCAGTTAAAATCTATCAAAATCTTTCATTCATGGGTAAATAGCAGACAAGTCTATTAATAAAATTTTCAGATAATGATGGATATTCTTTGATACTGCAATGATACGTAAGTAGTGATATCTTAAAAGTACTTTGCGTTAAAATCCAGTGCTCTACCTTAAACTTTGTGTAGATCTTTTAGTAAAGTATAGTTTTGTAATCTGTATCAATCGTTAGAAAAATAATGACCCATTGACTGAAGTAGATCGTACAAATGTTAATTGATTTTATTAATTAAAAAATTAGTCACATTTCTTAATATGAATCTCATTAGAAAATGTTTATTAAATAAGTCATAAATCAGTGCCAGATGGTAGTTTCTCAAGTAAAAAATCTTATTCCATGAAGAAATTGGCTTATTTAAAATGCAAGCCAATCAATGAATACTAAAATAACCATCTTCTTTTTGTAGTGTAGTACACATCCTGTTTTGTTATGCAGAATATTAAAAAAGCATGTACCCAGGCATAGAGATTTAATAATTAATTTTACTGCTTCATCCTGGTATTCACAAGTGAAAAGTTTAAATTATAGTTGGGCATGTCATATATAGAATGGTTACTAGTAAAAATTGGATGCATATCTGTCCTCTGCTGAAACACCCAGATTTTTTGCTAATCATTGCTTTTGCACTATTCATTGTTGGTACAATAAAAACCTGATAAGATTATAGTATAGTATTATAACTTTTATGGTTAGTAAAACAAAATTGTGACTTTGTGTACCTTCTGAAAGAATCTTGGGGACTCCTAGTGCTCCTCCCTGAGCTATGCTTTGAGAACTCTTGTTACCAAAGGGGTGTGCTTTGATACATGGTTCTGGGAATTAATTGGCTTCTGTTTTTTGGTTATTTGTTAATTTATAGTTCTTCTCATGGTAAGGCACACAATTTTATAAACACTATAAGGTAAAAATCTTAGTGTTTTTGAAGCTTTTACTGTTGGTACTCTTTGTTTGTTTGTTTTGGTACTTGAGGTTTGAACCCAATGCCTAGTGCTTGCTAGGCAGGTGCTTGAGCATGCTTCTGGTCCACTGTTGGAATTCTTGAAGAATGAAGAAAGCACTTTGTGAAGGTGGAATTTTATGAACTCTTATGTTAGCAGAATTTTATAGGTCAGCTCAACCACTTAACTATCTGTACAGCCTTAAGTAAGTTATTTAATAGCTCTGTGCCTTGGTTTTTATCATGTTTAAAATGTGATAAACTATAGACCTTTGTATGGTTGAATCAATACTTTAAAACTGAGTTTTCATCGTGGCTTTATTTTATTGCATTGAAGTCTTTTGAGATGTTGGTTACTAATTGTTCATCTTAAAGTGTAACTTTTGGTAGTATAATAAAGGATTTTTAATTGTTTGTATTAAAAATCTTACATATCAATTCTAACTTAAAATATATTGAAAAGTAATTAATAAGAAAAGTGAGGTCATTTGTGTCACTTTCTAGATGGGCACACAATTGAAGTGAACTTCTTTAATTGGTTATTTAGATGGATGGATGGATACATATAGAACTGAGAAATGCTATCTTAATTTCACTATATAAAATCACCTTAATATAATCTCTACCCCTTTTGCATTTTACTAGAAGTACGTAACAGTGGATTTCTAGAAGGTAACAACAACTTGAAGATATGGCTAGGAACCTGAAAACTTTTTATTCCACAAGTTGTTATAAAATGGTCTGTCATCTAACTGTAAAATTTCTTTTTCTTAAGCATCAGAGTAAAACTCTGAAAAATAGAATTTGGTAATTTTTCTTAACATATTATCAGTATTACTAAATATAAATGCATATTTAGTGAAAATACTATAATATATAACATAAATTGGTATTTTAATATAATGGTGTGCTCTGTTAGCATGGAGTATTCTAAGACATTTTGATCCCATCTAAAGGGATTTAAAGAGAGATAATTTAGAATTTACTAAGTTTATAATATAGCACCAGAAAGGGCAGGTTCTGTTTGTGTAGTTGACTTAAAAAACTATAGATATATTCAGTGTGCCCAAGGAAAGCTCTTAATGATGAAAGTGGATTTTATAATAAAAAAAAAAAAGTAAGTTTGCAAATAGTAAAAAGCTAACCATTGTTGCAAATCCAAAAGAAAAGTATATGGAACTCATGCCACCTTCCCCCCCAGTCATCAGAAGACACCCTCCCCCCCCCCCCCCGCCCAATGTATTTTATCACTATATGATGCTAAGGTGCAATGAGCTTTTCAGTAACAAGTATAAATGATACCTAGAAGATGCTGGGTGTGCTGAAGCAGGTTTACTATGTCAGTAGGTTCTAAGCAATGATTAGCCAGTATCAAATTGGTTAGCTTATTGAGAGTAGTGATGAAGATTTAAAATAACTTTTACATTTAATGCTTGATCAGTAGTCATTTTCTCATATAGTCTAGCTTTTTTTTTTTGTAGGTCAGTAATAGAATCTGTTAATTAGTGAGAGTTTTATGAGAAGAATGAAATTTAGTTTTTAGGAAAGTTAAATAGTTTTAGAAAGATTTGACGTGCAAAGCATTTCATTTTTTCTTAGTGTTCGTGTTGTATAATACCATATTTTTCTTAAAAATTATCTTTGGGCACATCTATTTACGTTAAATAGGTATGGTTTTTTTTTTTCCACCACCTCTGTGCATGTTATTCAAGCACTTTTCCGCTGAGCCACACCCTGTCAAAGTATTTTAAGACATTTAAGATATTTAAAATATTTTTAAAAGTACTTTAACTTTTTTTTTTTTAATTGGGTAGTAGTACTGGAATTTGAACTTGGCTCCATGCTTGCTAGGCAGGTGCTTTACCACTTATACCATGCCTCCAGCCCTAAATTTTTTATTTATTTGTTTCGACACTTATTTTTTAAAGGAGCCATCTGCTTTTAAAATATTTTTAAAAGAGCCATTTGCTGCTTAATGACATCCTGTTACAGGATAGGCTTTTATGTCCTTTACTTTCAGTTTTCATATGTGCTTTTCACTTATACTGCATGATTAAATAGAGTTGAACATTCAGATTTTAATAGAATTGCTTTTCAAAAGTACAGTAATTATGCTTTTATTAGATTTATACATTGGTGTTTGTCTCAAAGTATTTTTCACGATCAGTTCATTAACTACATTTGTCTAAGAGGAGAAATGGTCATCAAATGAAAATTGTAACTTTATGTGATTGAGTAATTTTACCTAGAGATTTCATTCAAAGTTCTTTTGTAACTGTTAGTAAATGTAAAGTTCTTAGGAAGTAGATTTCTTTAGAGAAATTTCAAAGATTTTTGAACATTTGTATGACCTGTTTGTTACAATTGATGATGATAGTGCATTGTTTCAAAACTTGCCAAGTGAGTAACACTTCACTGGGATTTTACCATTATGTGACCACTCAGTGCAAAGAAAGCAAGTTACATTGAGCTTTCAGTATTCCTTGTGCAGAGTAAAGACTTTCATGGTGTGTCTATAGACCCTGGGTGGAGTAATGCTTGGCTGGTTGAATAAAAATGTAAGAAAAACCAAGTTGCAATTTTTAGGCAATAAAAATTATAACTTTTAAAACACCAGTGGCCTGGAAAAAAATAATTGACCCTAGTATTTATTAATTCTAGATTTTTCTTTGCTTGAAGTTTTAGGCATGTGTCTTTAGAATAAAAGCATTAAAAATAATCTGTAGTAGATTTTATGTAATGTGACTCATTGACAATCTAATATTGCAGTATAAATTGCACATTCTCAGTGCTTGGCCTGGGCTAAAGGTTTTGTTTTATTTTTGGTGTTATTAAATAAATAATGTTGGAAAATTTCAGTTTTCTTAATGGAAAGTTATGTCCCAATTTCACTCTTTTCTTTTTGATTTTAGATGGGAAATGTAAAGTCATAAGATCGATAGGTTGACTGTGACAACTATGTTTACTTACAGAGAGAACAGGAAATGAGAATGGGTGATATGGGTCCCCGTGGAGCAATAAACATGGGAGGTAGGGATATGAAGCAAAAGACTTTTGTCACTTGTAATTCTTTGGGGGATATACATGCTATTTGTGGTGTCTGTATATTTCTTAGAAATATGGAACCAGTGCTTGTGAAGGTGAAATCTCTTACGTTTACTAATTTGTAATATTTAATTACATTATAAGTATATGTCTATAAAGAATATTTTGACAGCTACAAGGTACCTTATACTTTGATAGCCTCATCGAAAGAAACGTATAAATTAGGGTTTGATACTGTCTGAAGTAAGTTCAGTCGTTGCATGATATAATACAATGCTGTTGTACTTCTAAAATCAGATTTCATGCCTTCAGATTGTTTTTTTTTTAATATTGGAAATTGACAGTTTCTGAATTTTATTTTAAACTTTTGAGAGCATTTTATAAAGTTCTATTTTTAACTTGATTTTTGTGTAACTTTGAGCCCATTTTTATTAACTTCAATGAATAGCTAACATCTTTTTCCTTACCTACAGTATTATGGAAGTTCACCCTTTGGAGACTTGTTGAGGAAATGAGATGTGTCTTGCTAATGTTTATGTTTAAAGTTGATGTAAAAATTTTAAGAAAGTACCTATAATAACAACTTTAACATCCATTGGCTTATGTAGGTAGGCTGTCAGGGATCAGTATCAAGTAAATAAGCCAGGGAAAAATAAGTTGAGTATCACAGGTCTTAAGAAATTTAAAGTTTGAAATGACATATATTAACCATTGGATAGCGAATTATAATTTACATATTTACTTTCACATTAAATTGTCCCACTGATGAAACTGCCATGAAATTAAACTCTTAAGTCAAATGTACATACTGTTTGAAAGATTACATTACCAGAACATCCATTGCACATCCATCTAGTATGGTATTTTTCTTTGAGACCCGCTTGATTTATTCAGGTTATTTAATATATAATGATGCAGCTGTGACCCTATATTGTGTTCTTAAAATATGTAGTTTACAAAATGAAACTTAAAACATGGAATGTATAGAATGAACATCTTCCATGATCAGCCTCAAAACCCCCACCCCCTTATTCTAGTTCTTTGACTCTTCTAATCAGGTAATCTAGAATCATCTGTTGCTGTTTATTTGTCACTTTCCTTAGTTACTAACAGGTAGTCACTTAGCATCTCTGTTATGCAAAGGAAACATGAAATGTGGCCCTCACCCATAAAGAACTTAATCATGAAGTTAGTACATGAATATGTGACATAATTAGTGAAACAGTAGTATAAGTTCTAAATTAGGAAGTATGGTGAAGTATTTAATTGTCTTTTTCAGAGTAAGTTCTGGGATGGTATATAAGGGAATTGTGGTTTTCAGGGCAGTACAAGTACAGTTATTATGGATTATAGACAGTTTCAAAAACCATTACAATTTTTAGATTGTCATTAACCTCAGAACCAAACTTCAAAATGTTAGAATATTTAAACCTATTTCTGATGGTACAGAGACCTGAAATACTCCTTTTGTTTAATTAGCAGCTCTATGTGAATATTCCTTTATGATCCTTATTAGTTAGAAATTCAAGAGAATTTAAAAATTTTTATGAGATTTTACTCCACTACCAAACCGTATTTACATTTTAGCACTTTCTTAAAATCCGGTCCATTTACTATTTTCTTTAGTATTCAGTTAACTTGAGACGTTATCTTAATACAGTTTACTAGACTTACCCAGTTGAGTCGCTGTTGAGCAGGTAAAACTGTCATATCCCATCAGGTTACATTGATGGGGGCTGGGGTTATAGCTATTCTGTAGAGTTCCTGGTTAACATGCTCATGGCCCTGGGTTGATTGCCATGAACAAACACACACACACACACACACACACACACACACTCTCTCTCTCTCTCTCTCTCTCTCACTCACTCACTCACTCACACTCTTACACTGATGGGATGTGGTCTCAAGATTTTTCTGCTATCTTGCCAGTGGGTATACTATATGAAACATGGATTATAAAGCTGCTTTAGATAACCAGATAATGCTAGCATTTCTTAGATCATAAACATTAGTTTATAGCTTTGCAGGTGGAAGATGTAAGTACTAAAAATGAGGCTTTAAGTTGATTACTAATAGTTGAGAATATTATTTTTTATTTTTTACGTTCTTATACTTGTCTAACTATCCCAATCCAGGAGTTAGTGCAACTCTTCATTCTATTAAAGAGAAGTTCAAACCACAGTGCTACCAAAAAAAAAAAATGTAAAGAAAAGAGAGGCAGGATGTGGTGGTCCATGCCTGTATTCCTAATGAGGCCCAGGAGGATGGTGAGGTCTAGGCCAACCTGAGCTACATAGTGAGATCCTGCCTCACCCCTCTCCACTAAAAAGAAAGAAAAAAAAAAAAAGAATAAAACCCTTAATCTGTTCTTTTTGGGGAAAGTTGAGGGAAGAAGCCTCCTAGACATTCTCTTCCACCATTCTTCATTTTTAATCATGTATTTCTGTTATACATTTATAACTACTGAGGGAGCAAAATATTTTTGGTTAACGTGCTGGCATATCAGTAAGAGTATGTTTGGATTAAGGAAGTCATTCCTTCCTTTTGAAGTTGCTTGTTTCCTGGGATTACATTCAAAGAGCAATAAGTAGTATGTGATTCCAGGGATTGGTAGGGAGTGCTACTTCTTTCTTTCACCTGCTCTTTGCATTCTACCCTAAGTATTCTGTAGTGGATTTGAATGAAGACTTCAGCTATGGATATTTGAGAACTTGAATGTCAGAAGATTGACCTACATAGTGAAATACTGGAAGAAAAGTACACTGTAATCGTTCTTTGTGAAGGAATTTTAATTAGAAATCATTATGAGCATTTAAGAAAAGGAAAAAGATTTCCAAGAAAATACTTAAAAATGTTGGAGCTGAGACATGTTATAACTGAACTATTACTGCAATTAATATGAGATAGCTGGATATGTTTTTTTTTTGGTGGCATTGGTGTTTGAAGTCAGAACTTGATGCTTGCTAGGCAGGCACTCTTGAGCTACTCTACCAACCCCAGATGGATGTCTCTTTCTTAATGAAAAATTTGAAATATATCTGGTTATCGCCTTTTCCAGAAGTTTATGTCAAAAATATAAAAGTCAAGAGATTGGTTTAGAGCTATCTTTTTTGAGAATAGTTTCCCCTGTTAAAATTTAAGCTATTTTCATACAAATATATTTAGTGAGGCTTTGAGAAAAATCAGTTTTTAAGTCCTAATCCTTTGTTCATTAAAACTGACAGTGCAGTCAAAAATTATTAGGGATTATTTGGTTTAAAAGTAGGCTATATCAAATACTATAGATTTTTTTTCATGGATTTTTAAAACTTTGATTCTGTTACAGACCAAATTGTTGTAAAATAATTGAGTTGCCTCATTTGTTTCATGTACATTTATTTTAGGGATGAAAATTCCATGGTATCAGTAATGCTCTTTTATAGAGTAGATAATTGAGTATTCTGTTCTCATGAAAGGAAAATGATTTTGATAATAGTCTTCATGTATTGATTGCATAAGTTTTATAAAATTGTTAATGTTTACTAAACTAAGATAGGCCAGCTCTAAGTATAGATTGTTTTACATAGATGCGTTTAGCCCAGCCCCTGCTGGTAACCAAGGTCCTCCTCCAATGATGGGTATGAATATGAACAACAGAGGAACTATACCTGGCCCACCAATGGGTCCTGGTCCTGCCATGGGGCCAGAAGGAGCTGCAAATATGGGAACTCCAATGATGCCAGATAATGGAGCAGTGGTAATGTATCACAAACATTATTTTGATTATATTTGGTAACATATTCTGCCCCAAAGATAACTTCACACTTAACATAGTTTGGCATCATTTGTTTTGTTAGTAGAAATAAACAGCCCATCAATGGGAAAAAAAAATAACTTTGTGAAGTTATTTGATACGAGACAATTTTTAAATAGCCCAAGAGTTAGGATTACCATCTGTGGCATGCTTTTGCATTTCAGTGTACAGCAAATACATGTGTCATTAAGTTATTTTTCAATGCTTTTAATTTGTATTTGCCTCTTACCAGCATATAGTGTAGTGGTATTTTATGACTGTGTTCTTTTTCTCTGTGAATTCCTTACCATTGGTGGGGACAAAACTCTAATACATGTGAAAACACAGTTTTCAGTAAATATTTTTGATATAAAGATCACTTTTCATGATACATTTTAAAGCATTTATTTTCACTGTGAAACAACATTACAGTTTTTTTTTTTGTATAGTCTAGATTACATTGTTATATTCTTTCCACAGAATTACTAAATTGTTACTAACTTTAAGTAGACAGTATTTTGGGTCTTGATCTGAGAGTGTGAAGATATCTTTGTATGGGCTAAATACTATAAAAACAAGGTTTTTCAGTTGTAATTTCCATTATATTTGACTGTTAGCTGGCAAGATTTATATCTTTTATCATTTCTTTGAAAGTTTACCACTATTTAAGTGAGTCTTTATAGTACGAAAATATTCTGATGTGGTGTTTTTTAATGTTCCAGATAACACTTAGAAAGGAAAATTGGTTGGCTGTATATTTTGAAAAGGCAGTTTTGTTTTGAAACTACAATATAAATGTTAAGGAACCATTGCTATTAAGAAACAACACACAGTGCCAATTAAACTCAGCCATGCCATCATTTGTATGTCTGTGGTGATCTGGAAAAAAGACATTAGGGCTCTAGGTGTGGCTCAAGTGGTTGAGTGCATGCCTAGTAAGCAGGAGGTCCTTAGCTAATCCTCAGTATTGCAGTAAGTAGTCAATCAGTAAGGCATTGAAAGTAAGATATTGTGCATCATGGAATTGAGGAGTACACTTTATCACTTTTTAAGTTTACTTTAGATACAATCTTAAGAATTTGGACATAATGATTGGAGTTTTTTATTCTCTTTTTTATTTATTTACTTCTTTGGGTGGGACTGGGGTTTGAACTTGGATTCTGGGGTTTGAACTTGGATTCATGTTTGCTTTAGCCTTGCGAAGCAGGCACTCTACAGCTTGAGCCACACCTCCAACAATTGGAGTTTTTAAAAAATGATAGCTTGCCCAGGGAGATAAAGAGGCAGTGTCATGATATCTGCTATCAGTTGATGGCACATAGTACAACTAGTGTGTTTTCTCTTCCTGTAGAACCTACATTTTCATAGAAAAATGTTCAAAAGCTAATAAAAATTAGTTTGGTTAAAGTTTTCTTTAGGACATAATCATTATTAGTAATATAGAAGTAGCATGAATTCCTATTTTCTACTCCTTTCCTAGAAATTGTAAACTTTATTAAAAATCACTTTTGTGGCTTTTTGCATCTACATTTGACTACTACTACTTAAATCAACTCTTGGAAATTATTAATTTTTTCAAAATAAGGTGATAATGTGCTATTAGTAGTTTATTAAAGTCAGTCAGCTTTTAAAACTATTTTCCCAATGCTTTGAACTAAAGCACCTCAAAAGTGTTCATATTGAAATGAATTCTGTCTTTTCTTAAGTAGTGTTGTATGTCGTAAAAACATTGATGTTAAAGTTTTTAGATTGTTTACTTTTTAAAACAAAGTGATGCTGCTCCCCAGTTTTATTTCTCTGATTTCTTTTTAAAAAGTATTTTTGTTGCTGGGTGTGGTGGTGTACACTTGTAATCCCAGCACTCTGGAGGCGGAGGCAGGAGGACCGTGATTTGGAAGCCAGTCTGGGTTATTTAGTGAGACCCTTTCTGGAATTTAAAAATAAGAAATAAAAATGCTGTATTTCTCTGACAGCATCGTATCATGCAACGTAAGCTTTTCAAAAAGGGATCAGAGTAGTATTATAATGCTGTTTAGGCTTGAGATGGCATTTGCTGATGTCAAAAATCAGTTCTTTTTCCATGAAATTGGGGCATAGCATTAGCAATTTGTAAAACTTCAGATGCTGCTTTAAACATTTTTTTTTTAACATAGTAACTAATTAAATTGCTCCTTTCTTCCTTCTATGTGTGATCCTGATTCTGCTGGACTTTCTGCTGAACTTCATGACACCACCACTTGGGATTTTGCCAATTTTTGTCACTTATATTTGGCGTGTTCCAAATGGACTTCATATTTATTGTGTGGGATTACAGCACAATGATAGGTTTCCACAAGGACCACCATCCCAGATGGGCTCACCTATGGGGAGTAGAACGGGTACTGAAACCCCTCAAGCACCACTGAGTGGTGTAGGTCCTGTGAGTGCTGGTCCCGGTGGCTTTGGGAGAGGCAGTCAAGGGGGCAACTTCGAAGGTCCTAATAAGCGTCGTAGATATTGAACGCTTTTCCATTTTTGGCTGTTTAGAGAAAAAAATTCAGTGGTATGCCTTTACACTTTTATCTGTTACTTGGAAGAAGTAGTTTCATTGTTAATGTATGTAGACTTAGAATTTTTCTTTTATAAAAGTTGAGGTTTTGTATTTTTCTTCATTCATAAGCTTTGTAGATTAGAATGGGAATGATGACACTCATCATTGTGAATGTTAAAATGTGTTTGTGACTTTAGCTAAGTGTAACGATGCCATAGTACTGTGAACTTCATGTCGTTACTTAATCTCAATAAAGAAATCATTTTGGATAATTTAAAAATGTTACTAGTGCTATTCCCTTATGGTTTTACTAAACATTGCTGTAATAATAATAATACTTTGGTTGCTTTAAACCCAGCCATCTAAAAATGAAAATGATTTTGCTTTTTAGTTTGCATAAGTAGCCCTAAAGTTTAGAAACTTAGTGAAAGCTAATGTCAGTAAGGGGAAGTAGAGTAGTATATTTGGGGTGGGAGGCCCGGGAGTTCAATTTGTATAAGCCCTTGATACTCTGTAAAATTGGAGTTGTTGCTCACATTTCACGCCGATCCTGAATATTCACATATTCTGAGGATTATTGAGGGTATCTTTGTCCTGTGCTGATTTTTCCAAATAAATCTTTTGAATCTTAAAAACTGTTTGAAGACAAATCTCTTTTGCTTATAAAATAATATCTCATTTTAATCTTACCTGCCATCATTTATTTAGTGTCAATATATGTAGCTCTTTTCCAGTTACCACTGTATAGTTAGTGTAATTTTTTTTTTAATCAAACAATGTGGTTGGATTGGCAGTTAAGGGAGACTTTGCTGTATGATTCATGGTTAGTTCACTCGGCATTTCTTGAGAATGTTGATTTCTAGAAGTATTAAAAAGATAAATTGACTCTGCAGTGCTAAAAATATTTCCAGTAAAAGTTGTCTGATGGCTAGGACTGTTTCCAAGGAATACTGTTCAAGTGGTGATTTTTAAACTCAGAGAATTTACTTTCAGCCGGAACTGGTGATAACACACCTGTAGCCACAGCACCTAGCAGGCTGAGGCAGGATCATGAGTTTTAGGCCAGTCTGGGCCAAGATACTGTCTTAAAACAAAACAAAGAAAGGACTTTAGAATGTTAGGCTTACTGGCATCTGATTAGATCCCTCTTCCACCAAATGCTGGTGGAAACTGACTTTATCAAATTACAGTGCTTATTCCGAAACAAAGTCTACTATATTTAAAATTTTGTGTATTTATCATGTTTATTTAAAATGAAATTAAGGAATCTCATATTTAACTTAACACCACAAATGAAATTAACCATCCACTGATGATAAGAGTTACTTCTCTTTCAGAGTGTTAATATATTATGTTTTTACCACTGTTCTGAAAATTAATATGTTACTCTAAAGTAGACAATAAGTAAATAGCTCCATGCTGTTTGTTTTTGGTGGAAGGTGTGTTTTGATACAGAGTGACTTTGGGTAATTAAAAATCTTGCATAAAAGTAGTTGGTTGTAAAGCATAATTGAGATGTATTGTTTTGTACCAAATACCTTTTCATATGTACTGTCTGGTGTTACCTTTATTTTTAGACAGCAGTATTGATGGAAATATTTTTTAAAACTTGCAATATTCATAAGCTTTTGTTTTTGGCAGTTCTTTGGAAGCATGATTTGGAGATTGTAAAATAATAGCCAAAGACTATTCTCATTAAATTTTTCATAAGTATAAAGTGATAGAGAGGGGGAGTTGTTTTAATCTGTGACCTTAATTTGGATTTGAGCATTTTAAAAATTATATTTTAAGTGATACTTATTGCATTCAAAGCTACCTTTCCCAACTGTGTTTTAGTCATACAGTCCTCCGATAATTTTTATCGTTTATATTCATTCAAACCCGAATTAAGATTGGGAGAAACTTGATCTTTGATGTTAATACTGAGCGACCTTTGTTCAAGGATGTGAAATTTTGTATGATTTTGTTCAAGAACGTTTGAAAGCCAGTGCAGAAAGAGATGTCTTAATCTCCTGAACATCCTAGTGTCCGGGCTCAACTCTGGCTTCAAGAACAGAGTTCTTCACAGCTTTTCCCCTGCATCAAGGAAACCCTTGTTGGAGGAGTACTTACCAAGTTTATCCTGGGAGCAATCAGCTTCTGAGTGACAGTCAAGTGGAGCGTCTCTGAACTCCTACTTTTACTCAGTTTTAGTGTTTGTGTATAGTTAAACAACCTTGCTTCAGGTTTACTCAATATTTTTTCTTGTGAATTAGTATACCAAGGAAGATTTTTAAATGTCATTTTGCTTAAAAGTAGTAAGTGAAAAAATAAAGAAGGAAATTTAGTAGTGTTAGTTTTTTTTTTTAAATAAACATGAAATTGTACACTATCATTTTTTCCCATAAAAGGTACTATGAAACAATTTTAACATTATAACACTACAATCTTGTGT